TTTTGAGTTTGTCTCTATTGTTCAATGAGCTTATTAAAAACTCCAGATGACTGGGATGGGGTGTTACACAGTAGAAGTGGGTGCAGGTGAAGTAACCTTCTCTCATTACGAACATACATTCTTAGATTACCCTTTGGAAATAATCTTTTATCCAGTGTTCTAAGGAATTGTCTGCTTTGTTTTTTGGTCTCAGAGCCCAGTTGGACAGAGTCCTAATCCCTTTATTTTTCCTTTAAATTCTATCTGTAAGCAGCAATGTCTTTTTCAGTTTGTCTCTCTCTTGACACACTTGATCCTAGAGGTGAAAAGAAGCCAACTTCCACTTTAAACATTTTTCCTGGAAGCCATCTTGTCAATGTCCACAAGTTTCTCAGACACATTTTCTGTCTTCTATGAGACCACAGATTCTCTTTTCCAACTGTTCTGCCCCCACATAACATAGTCTACTGTTTTCCATACTACTTTTCAGCATCAATTAATTGCCCAGTCTCATATTTGATCCCATATTTTTCAGGTTATTTAATAGCAGCACACCACTTCTTGGTGCACTGGAGAGTGACCAACCCGAGCAAACATGGTGATTTTTAGACACTTGTAGAAACAGATCTGTGAGCTGTCATTTGCACGGAGATGAGGGCAATTTGCATGCGAATACGCTAGCTGCCTGTCATTACTGAAACTACAGAGCACATTATTTGTGTAAAGGAAGTCATATGTGCTTAGTCAGAACAGGCCCCAAAAGGTCAGAGGAACTATATAGTGCCAGTTTTCTTCTCATCTCCAGCCTATTAACCCCCAAACAATTGACTTTGCATTCCATTTCCTCTTCCCCCATTTTCTGACCTTTATAAGAATAAAACTGGGAATGGTTTGGGGTTGTGGCTATCTCCATCAGATAAGTTGGGCCCACCTGATCCTCACTTTTCTATACTTGCATGTCTTCATGTGTTTATTTTATGTTGATTTCTAATCCACAGCACCCCCACTTAGAAAAATACATTCTGCTGAGCAGATCCTAGGAAGTGTATAGATATCTGTGTAAAATAAATAGCCCAAAATGTAATGGCTTGAAAAAAAAACAACCATTCAGGGAACCAGCAGTTAGTGTAATGGCTATGGCGCTGGACTCCCACGTAGTCGACTGCAGTTCGCGTCTCGGACCTGGTGGCTTAAAACTCATGCCGGGCGCGTGTGCGTGCATGCCCAAGATCCCGAGAGGAGAATGGAGGAGAAGGGATTGCGGCGTGACCATCCCCCCTGGGGGGTGATGTCTCGCTTTCTGTCTCTATGTCTCTCTCTGTCTGGTGAGCGCATGCGCCCTATAGCGAAAACCTCCCCCCCCAAAAAAAATAACAACCATTCATTTACCTCATAATGAGAGAAGAGAAAAATAAAATATGGAAGCAGATAAGGGGGCTGGAGCATGTGCTCATGAGGCTAGGTAGAAAAATCTATTAGGGGAGAAAATTTCCTGCTCCAAGTAATTAATGTAGGCAGGGGATTGGTGGGGGGGGGGTGGATATCCAGCTGATTAAGCCACATTTGGTATAGCCAATGGCATAAAGCAGTAGGCCTAGCCACATTTGATACAGCAAATAAGATAAGAACAATCAGTGGGCCCAGCCAATAATCAACTGATATGACCTAGATTAAAAACAAACTATAAGCCAGAGTCAGCAGTTGGCATGGTTGTTAAGGGTGCTGGATTTCCATATGGCCAACCATGGTTTGAATCCTGGACCTGGTGGTTTGCTTTCTAGCTTTCCCTTTCTCTCTCTCTGTCTTTGTCTGATCAAATAAACAATAATAATAAAAATAATAACACATGGAATTAAATAAATAAATCATTCTTAAAACAAAACAAAACTATAAACCTCACAGAATGTAACTTCTGGGGCTTTGAGCCACTCTTTTTCTGTCCACCCAGGCCCACTCACCTCTCAGGAGTGTGCTTTCACTTTTACTTAATAAACTACCTTTCATTTCACTATTGGTGTGATTTACTCAGTTCCTTGTAGGAAACACCAAGAACCTGGATGTCATCACAGAAGCCATCCTGCAGTAATAATTCTGTGAGTACATTTGGGCTGAGTTCTGAGGTGACTGGTCTGAAGTGGCTTGGCTCATTTCAGTTTGTGCTAACTGAGGCATCTGCTGTTGGTTGGCAAGTTGATTAGGACCTCACAAACTTGTAATTGGCTGATGGTATTTGGAGGGATGAATAGCTGAGTTTTGTCTGTCATCATGTATCAGGCTATTGTGGACTTATTTACATGACAGTGGTGATAAGAGATTTCCAGAGTGGAAAATAGGTAAGTCCTAATGTGCAAAGTTTTTCAAGTGCCTGTTTGTGCCATGATTTGCTAATACCTTGTTGACCAAACCAATTCACATAGCTCATACACAGTCAAAAGTTTGGGAAAGAGATTCTGCCTTTTTAGTGGAGAATGGAGTATTGTGGTCCTTTAACAATTCACTTCATCCTGAAACTATTCTGTATTATACCAATAAATGCCCTTAGTCTAATATTTTTAACAACCAGGAATTCATAAGAAAATTGAAACTTACCTCACATCTACATTTTTGGGAATGTATTTGCTAGAAGAAACTTCATTTTTATTGTAGATATGAGAAATATATATTCTGAACACAAGAATAAGCAAATATTCACTTGAACATTTAAGCCTTGCTCTGTTATTGATAATCAATGTGTACATCTGCTTAGTTGTTATTGAGTTGTTCTCATTAATTATTAAATATCTGCATAAAACAACACAGGCAAAGCATATTGAAGATAAATATTGTAAAAAACACTATTATATTGTAATATATCAACTTTTCATAAATATTTACTTATAAATGTGTTTGTTGAAGATAATAGCAGTACTCACTATTATCCCCACTGGTGTACTTTCCTGAATTTACTAATAGCTGAAAAACGAAAATTCAATTTTTCAAACTCCTTGAAACATATGTTCTTCCTGTAACCTGATGTCTACAGGTAGCTTAACTCTCAAGATTGGAAGATGGAGTGAGTTCCGTTGTGTGCAGCCAAATGTAGGGACAGAGCATCTCCTCGGGAGGTTTGTGAGTTTTCTCAGATAGCTCTAACATGGTTTTAATCAGTGATTTCCAACAGGAAACAAAGAACACATTGTCTATTTAAGAACTTCAGTTTAGGGGACCAGCAGTTAGCGTAACGGCTATGTTGCTGGATTCCCATGTAGTCGACCGCAGTTTGAGTCCCAGACCCGGTGGCTTAAACTCATGCCGGGCACGTGTGCGTGTGTGCCCAAGATCCCAAGAGGAGTATGGGGGAGAAGGGATTGCGGTGTGGCCATCCCCCCTGGGGGGTGATTTCTCGCTTTCTGTCTCTCTGTCTTTCAAAAAAAAAAAAAAAAAAAAAA